AGCTGAAGTCGGACGCTTAACCGACTGAGCCACCCAGGTGCACCCCCCCGCCCCCATCTGCAGTTTAGAGCTGAAATCAGGGATTTTCAAACAGGTGGTTCAGTCCCCAAGATACACTTGGCAACATCTGGAGACATTCCTGGCCGTCACCGTTTGCAAAGGGTGGAGGTATGGCGCTGTTAATGGCATTAAGTGGGTGGAAGCCGGGATGCTGTTGCAATTAACATCCTGCAGGATCTAGGATAGCCTCGCCTCCGGATAATCCAGCCGCAAACGTTAACATTGTCAAGGCTGAGATATCCTGGTCTAAACCAAGAGAAACCCAGAACAGAGAACTCAAAACGAGGGAAGATTAGAAGTGGAGACTCAGGGTGGAACACAAAACCTTGCGCTGGGTTTTTATACAAATTCATCATATGGAGGAGTTTTGCGCTCTACTGTTCTTTTTTCTAAGTTTGTTTATTTTTGAGACAGACTGAGCACAAGCAGGGGAGGCACAGAGAGAGAGGGAGACGGAGAGAATCCCAAGCAGGGCTCAAACTCCTCATCGGTGAGATCGTGACCTGAGCCGAAACCGAAGAGTCAGACACTTAACCGACAGCCACCCGCATTCCCCATTTTTTTCTCCCCAGGTCTAAGGTTTCTCTCAATGGAGGGATTCTGGGGCGCCTGGGTGGCTCAGTCAGTTAAGCGTCCGACTTCAGCTCAGGTCATGATTCAAGGCTTGTGAGTTCGAGCCCTGCATCTAGCTCTGTGCTGATAAGCTCAGAGCCTGGAGCCTGCTTAGGATTCTGTGTCTCCCTCTCTCTCTGCCCCTCCCCCACACATACTCAGTCTCTCTCTCAAAAATAAACACTAAAAAAAAAAAAAAAAAAAATTAAACAGGGATTCTGCTGCTTTACCCTACCAGCCCAGCCCCCATGAGGTTCCTGATTAGGGTCTGAGAGCTCAAGTTCGAGGCAGAGGAGGGAGACCCACTTCCCCTCCTCCCTATAATAGACCTCCATTAATGTATCCGAGACCCCCTTCCTTTTGCCATCCACCAAGGCAGAGGAAAGAACTTCTGGGCCTCCCTGTCAGCAAGGCTGAGAGCACATAAGATTTACTGGTCTAGTAAACCTTGCTGGGTGCCGCTGTGGGTGGTGCCCCAGGTAGTGTAGTCACGGGTCTGTCCTTGTGGGTTTGGTTATTACTTCCTCCAAGCTACTGAGCGGCAGCCTGAGGCCTTTGTTGGGTGGGCCAGGTAGCTGGTGAGAAAGAAACTCCTCGCAGGCCTGGGTCCAGTTCCCTGACCCTGCTCCAGTCCTCACTGTACAGAATGACTGGATTTACAGAAGTCCAAACAGCCTCTAACTCAGTAAAGTCCATGGGCTTTGAATAACCCTGGGGAAATCACCACCCCCGTTTCATAGATGGGGAGGCGGAGCTCACAGTTATCCCAGGGTGGCCCAGTGGGTACCTCATGTCACCACAGAAACAACCTGCTTTGTCTCCAGGTCCTTCAGTCCTGAGAAGGGTCTCAGCAGCTCTTATCCCCCCAAAAACCGATAATATGAAAACCGTTCATTCATTCACGCATTCTTTCATTCATTCAAGAAATAGGTCTGGGGAACCTGAGAAGCCTCAACCCTGGGCCCGGCCCCCCCAGAAGCTCCCAATCTGGGGGAGACAAATCCAGGTACCTGTGGGATCAGGCCTGGGGCCAGAAGAAGGGACCAGGATATTGAAGCTAAGGCTTTGAAGGATGCATAGGAGCTCACCGAAGGGAATTCAGGTAGAGGAAAGAGCAAACGGAAAGGAATGGAAGGGAGAGAAAACAGGCCTATTCAAGGTATCGTCTGTGGCTTATTTTGCTGAAAAGCAGAATTTGGGGAGGGGGTGATTTCCGAGGCTAGGGAGTGGGGCCAGACCCTGTAAAGACCTTGAATGCCAGATTGAGAAGTGGGCTATCTCCCGGAGGTCGGGGGAAGCCACAGAGGGTATGTGAACAAGGAGTGGGAAAGCCCGATTCGTTGCTGAACCCCAGCCCCGAATTGACCTTGGCCAGCCACTTCCCTTTGGACGAGGCGGTGCTGAGCCCCCCGACACCCACCCGCAACGAGGTCACTTGGAATTGGCTTTAACCACACTGGCTGTGTGGTAACCACTCAGTGACCTCGTCACTGTACTGGCTCCTTAGGTGCCCTTAGAGTCCCTGCTTGCAGATGGGGACACTGAGACTCAGCGTGAAGCAGAATTGGAGCCCAGGACTCCGACGGGTGGAGTCCGTCTATCCTATTCTTCCCGAGATGCAGAATTTCTGGGAGATTCCCCACCCGGACCTCAGAGCCTTCCAGAATCTGTCAAAGGAATCACGCACTTAAACATCTGACAAAGGACAGACCACCGGAGCCCAGGTCAGCCAACACTCCGCTGCTGGGCCACCCTGGGTGCAGACAGGCGAGTGGAACCTATGAACAGGTATAACTAAACCAGCCCCTTTCTTCCGATGTTAACACCAGAAGGAGGTAATTCGTCTTGTAGCATCCTGATTAACACTGTGGGAGAAGGGCGGGCCCATGGGTGGGGCACCTGATCAGCCTGGGAACTCCTGAAGGATAATAAAGATAATAAGAAAAGATAGAAAGGTCAAAGCCTTGGGGGAAGGGCATCTTGGGCCGAGGGCTTAGCAAGCGCAAAGGGTCAGACCCCAAATGTAAGGTGCCGAAGGCAGAGACAGGGAGGCCCTGTGGCTGGAACGGGGCGACAGGAGGGAGATGAGGGGGGGTTGTCAGACCATGCCAGGGGGAGGGTGGGGGGAAACGGGGCAGGCCACGAAGAACCTCTTATGTTGGCACATGTGAGGGGCAATGGGAACCACGGAGGGGGTGGTTGAGCAGGAGAGGGAAAAGATCGATCTATGCCTTTAAGAAGCCCCCTGCGGCTACGGAGGGGACAAGGACAATCAGGCAGGAGTAGAGGCCAGGCAGCAACCAGGCAGAAGAATCTGGGGGCCTGGACAGGGGCTGGTCAGCGAGGTGCAGGGAGGGGAGCGGATTCAGGAAAGACGATGAAGGGAGTCATCAATGGGTAAAGCCCATGGGAGGCGGAGAAGGAAGGATCGGGAGGAACAGTGTACAAAGCCTGGGAGCCTTTCCCATGGGATGTTCTGGGGCAGTGGTTGACTTCGGTGTGGTGTCCAGCCAAGAGCTGTGGGGACACGATGGCAAGTAAACCAGGAAGGCCCAGCAGGTATTTGACGGAGGAGCACATCTTTCCACTGCTTGCCCACGGCAAGGCCTCCTTCATGCTTCTTCCCTGCAGATCAGACACAGCGGCTGTGGACAGAGTCACAGCAGTGACATCTGGGCTGACTCTCAGGGACCCTCACTGCCAGACCAGCTGATCCTGCTCCTGGCTGTTTGCCTTCCAGACACACTGGTGCGATTTCGCCATCACCCAGAGCCTGCGTCTTCTAGTATACACGGAAAAGCCACTTGTTTCAACGTTTTCAAGATCCAAGAGCCTCCCTCTGGGGTGTGGCTGCCAGGTATGGGACCTCTCAGCTCCCGTCCCCCCGCCCCTAACGACCATTGCCTCCTGGTCTGCTCCAGCCGCACCAGCCTTGTCAGCTTCTTTCAGCCCTGCCACAGGGCCTTTGCACCTGCTTGACTTCTGCTCTTTCCCCATTGATCTTTAGGCTCAGCCCAATGCTGCCTTCTAATTTTTTTTTTTGTTTATCTTTGAGAGAGAGAGAGAGAGAGAGAGAGACAGTGTGCGTGCGAGTACAGAGAGAGACAGGGAAACAGAGGATCCAAGGCAGGTTCCTCGCTGTCACTGCAAAGCCCGATACGGAGCTTGAACTCACAAACCGCGAGATCATGACCTGAGCCGAAGTGGGACGCTTAACTAACTGAGCCACCCAGGTGCCCTCAATGTTGCCTTTTCAGAAGGGCCTCAACCTCCCAGCTAAAACACCCTGCCCCCAGCTCTGATTCTCTCTGCCGTTCTCACCACCA